AGAATGAAGACGCGAAGGGTAAAAAAAAGTATAGCTTGCAAGAGCATGGATGATGAATGAAAAAAGTTCCAAGTCAGGACAGTAGCGGGGAAAAAAGAAGGAACATGAGCTGAAAACTGTGAAATGCACCTTCTTGTTGAAGATGTTTTGCACCCCCATCAATGCAACTAAGATCATTTAGGGGGCAGGCTGCTTCAACCTGCTTAAAACGGCCACGCCAGGCTGAGACAGACACAACATCCCCAGCAGACAGATGGAGATACTCCATAAAGAACCCTCCCTTCATGGGAATCGAACTCTTACCTTACCACAACACCACAGATACTGGTCTTTGTTTTTGTAGAGGTTTTACGGTTCTCGCAACTGCATCAGGTCATTGAGCGCCAGGAGATTAGAGGAGTTACAAGAGAGTAACAAACATAAAACGGAGTGTCTCCGTACACGGTAACCGGGCACCTAGTCTCAGTATCTACGTACACGGTAACCGGGCATGTAGTCTCAGTGTCATGTACACGGTAACCGGGCACCTAGTCTCACCTTGTCTCAGTATCTTCGTACACGGTTTTGCCCCCACCCCTTCAACTCCTTTGCCCCCTCCTCTGGGCTCCCGACTCTTTCTGCAGCCTTTCAACTGCTACACCTAGCCTTCTCGGACAAGGGCGAAGAATATCGAAGGTCACGTGAGCAAGTTGCGCACGTTAAAGACCCCTTGGTGGTCTAAAATTGATAAGAGTAGGCTTCGGCCACCATCTGGGCAACAGTCAAAATTTCCCACCAACTGAAAATGCATAATGTGTCCCGCGCGCTAATATTACCTAATGCAGTTGCGATTGCTGTAAAACATTTATTTAAAAAAAGACTTTAACCCCCCCCCCCAAAAAAAACCCCAAAATCACTTGTCACAAACAATTAAAAAATTATAAGAAGATAGACATTTCCCAGGTCCATATGTGATAACGAAGGAGCATAATAATCAGACGGTTAAGAAGGCGCACTACTTTCATTTCTTTCCAGCTGATCGGAATCCATGACACTGTCAGTTGACAGGGGAGTTAACAACTAAAATAATGGTTTTAGATATGCTGGGGTTTGTAAGGAACATATGCAAGCAACCAGTCTGTTGAAGACGGCGATACATTGACATTGTCACAGGTCAAAGCCATTTTGTCTTGTTAAATAATCAAAATCATATTTAGGAAAGGACTGCATAAAATATATTGTGAGGAAGAAGTCAAATGGTTGGTGAGATGGAATCCTGCCAAATCTCAATTTTTCCAAAACTACTATTTTGCTCTATATTCCCCATTCCCAAAACTCTCTCTCTCTCTCTCTCTCTCTCTCTCTCTCTCTCTCTCTCACACACACACACACACACTTCCACACACAATCACTCACTCACTCACTCAAACGACCGAGGCAGTGAAAGGGAAGTGAACGCTGCTTCAGAATTTTCTAAATAGCCACCTTTGTTAAAATATATTGAAGTGCTTCTAAAATCTCTAACACCTTTTCTCAAAAATCTTTTGGGGGGCAAAAACGACATTCTTGTTTTGTACCGGACACTTTGCCAAGATACAAGGCTGAGAGGATACACATTAAAATACATTCCAAAATAGACTCCAACATTTGGATTCCCCTGAGACTCGGAACCTCCACCCGCAAGAGCTGAGACAAAATGAATCAACCTCAAGCATCATTCCAGTCAGACCATAAGTATTTTAAAGTAATCATCTAAACATGTATTCCAGTGTCCAACATATGGATACAGCTTGAATTCTCACAATATATAATATAGTCTTATTTATAACTCACTCAGCCCTGGGGCCAAATCCCTGTCTGCCGGCTGTGCCTAGAGGTTTAAGGTGTTTTCGTAAAATTGAAAAAAAATATTAAATCAACTCCAATGGCCGTAATACTAGATCTCTACACCCAACCTTGGTTATTTATTATATGATCTACAACCCTTTACAGAATTTGAAAATATTTAATAGTCTGTGAGATATCGCCAGCTGAAAAAGGTTGGTAACGGGCACTGAAAGTAGCTCGGAACAAAGACCAAGACTCGTTCACATTTCGCACTTCAATACCACGTGCAAAGTTATTTTCAATTGCAGGCCAAGTTAGAGGCCTTTGCCCTTGTAATAGTCTGTTACTTATAAAAAATGGGCACGGGTCACGTAAAAAGTATAGTCAGTTCTCATTGGACGTGCGTTTACGTTATTAAGCTATAGAAATGTCCGTCCCAATACTGTTGGGTTCAGGGCCCAGCACAGATGTGCACAACCTGACTATCTTGGGCTCAGGGCTGAGTGGGTCAAACACTTCTAAACAAAGATTTTTAAAAGACTGGAGAAAGAAAGAGGCAAACGAAGAAAGACACAGACACCACATTACGAAGTCACTGACATAGCCCACCCAAAAAAAGAAACCTTCTAAAAATATCCATAAACCTAAACCCCCACATAGGAAAACAGACAAAAAAAGCCCGCATAGGTACAAAAGGTGAACATAGATCGCGTTGCAAAATCCCAAAAGTGAAGCGAAAAAAAGGTAGGCAAAATCTGACTGACCTCTTGCTTCTCCATCTTGCTCTGTTCCTCGATGCGTGTGATGATCTCAGTCATGTTGGTCTCCAGCACCATGCCGCCCATCACCAGCTCACTCAGGATGTAATGCACCTGGCATACATACACACCATAACTAATGTAGAGTAAGATTAGTAAAAAAACAAAATTGTAAAGGTATGATGGTAAAGGTACGATGGTCAAGTTGTAAGGCCCATTATCATCGTCAGTGCCCTTCCCACCGTTGATCAAAGTGTTAGCCACAAACAAACTTTTTCCACATTTCCTTACCTGGGGTTCATCATCATCATTGCCTTTCTCAACCTGGATCAGGGTATACGCCATGAACAAACACTTTCCATATTTCCCTATCCAGGTATAGCCTCTTGATATTATTCCATATCTTCCTACTTTCCTGTAGACCACTTTCTGTGTGTTCCTCTTCAAGTTCTCTGAGCCTTCCCCTTGATATCTCATCCAGGTGATTCCAATCTAACACTTTTTTTATGCAGCTGCCTGGCTTCCTGAATGTCCAATCCATCACCATAACCTCCTTCTCACCTAATCTCCAAAAGAGCTCTCTATCTTGTTCTCCTCATCTCCATAAGACTTTCTCATTATCTCATGGTTAAGCTACCAAACTCTAATCGTGAGGTTTTATCTTGGGATAAACACAACACAAATTTTCCTCACTTCACCCAGGTGGGATCTTATCAAAACGTTCAAAGCTTTAGCACCTGTAAAATGGCAGCTTGCCCTGTAAGCTTCCAAGGAAGTTGAGATTGTTCCACAATGCTACTAGGTCTACAGGGGTAATAATATGGATTGTGAGGCGCTTAGAGCTTGCAGCTTGCTGTTGAGCAGGAATTTGTGCTAACAAATACTATTTATCATTTATTATCATTCTTTATACACCCCAATCATTTTGGAGAGAGCAACGGAGCATCAATGGACATGTCCGGAGTGCAGGGATGTTGCTTCCTGAATCAATGAACAATGAACAATTCACCCCAATCAACACTAGATCAGTTTAGAGTTTCAGTAAAGAGAAGCACATTAAAAAATCACTGGTCATTCAGTGCTGGGGAAAGAGTAAAACAGACAGCAACAAAAACAAAAAGATAGCCCTCCACCGCATACTGCTCAATGTGAATAGACGTCATAGTTTTACACCTCCATCAATGAAATTTGGACAATGAGAAAATCCACTCCCTGTTAATAAAGACTATTTTACACCTTAATAGACACAATTCAGAACACAAATGATATTTGTCTTAATCATCTAGCTACAGATTTCAGAACATGACAAAATCAATTACTTGTAAATTCTGGCAACTGTTTTACAGCCTATGAACAAGATTAATTAAACCAAATTCTGCAGGACTGTAGGATTTTCTTCATTTAAAAAGTTTAAAAAAGGGTGCTCAAATAAAACAAAAATTAGAAATTGAGGATCATTGTTCCATTTATGCTGTTTCTGATATAAGCTGACTCCACTTTTCTTTTTTTTTTTTTTACACTTTGACCTCTTTCTCACTCACCTTGTCAACATGGAAGATCAGATCCAGCTCACAGACATTTTCAAAACACTTGTCCAAAGTTTCAACAAATACCTGGCAGTAGAAAAAACACAACATTGGGAGACATCACAAAATATCATTGGGTTTGGGCTTTCGAGACTCAGCTCAGTCCAACGTTGTACCCCCAGGTAAGGTATTTTACAGGAATTTTACCATTTGGCTTGGTCCTATCTGAGATGGACATTAAATGTGAGATTCATGCCTTTTAAAGAACGTTACAGAGTCGCAAAGGGTGATAAACCTATTTAAATTCACAATTTGTACTTCCTACAACTTACACTCAAGTTATTTAAAAAATCGAACTTTTCTTAGACATACACTATTACATCTGTAATGATATGGGACATAATCCATAATCCACCACAGTTGCTTGTACATCATATTACCAGTTGATTCCCCTTTCAGTGTAAACACTCTATGAGCAGTTCTCACATTGTCTTGAGATTCAGGGCTTCTGGGAACAAAGGGTCTGGGGTCTATATAAAGCTGTGTCTGTGTCTCTAAGTTTTTCTTTGGGCATTTTGACTAGTTGAGTAAACCTTGCTACAACATCAAAAGGTCTCTTTCCCTATTTCATATCTTAATCTTTCTGACTAGGGCTTCCCCTGACTAATTTTTCCTTTCTTTTCACAATTTTAGCAGGATTTCACCAAACCCTCTTTCAAGGTTGTCAAGATAGATGTTTATTCAACATAACATAAAAAGGAAACAACCATCTTGAGAAGCAGCTTTACAGTCCTACCCTTAAGTGTACACAAGACATAAGAAGTGAGTCCTACCCTTAAGTGTACACAAGACATAAGAAGTGAGTCCTACCCTTAAGTGTACACAAGACATAAGAAGTGAGTCCTACCCTTAAGTGTACACAAGACATAAGAAGTGAGTCTTACTCCTAAGTGTACACAAGACATAAGAAGTGAGTCTTACTCCTAAGTGTACACAAGTCATAAGAAGTGCACATATTTCAAAAGTACATTACAAAGACAACAACAAAGTCAGCTTCATTCCATAGTCACTCAAATCAATTTTTGGAGGGTTCCAGATAAACCTGTTAAGCGAATAAAGTCATCGAGGAGCATTATACAATACAGTTTTGTTCTGTTTTCTTATTCTCTCCCCAGTTTTTAAACGAAACGAAAATACCAAAGTTTAAGTTCTGATTTGGAATTTCTTTCTTCCTTTAATTTTTTTAAGCTACAGAAAATAACTAATGAACTTGTGAAATGACAAGGACAATATGCTTCATTCAACACAGAGAAGTTTCATAAGAGGTAGCACTTCTGATAAGATTAAGTCAAATAGGTGGAGAACCTTCAAAACTACCAAAGATTAAAAACAGAGTCGCCCTCCATCTAAGCTAACCATGAAACCAAAAAAGGTATTTGCACATCCAAAAAATAATAGTGTCTCTCCAGTTTGAATTCTAGTTGTTTAAGCCACTATGCTGCAGAAAGGGTCAACCTTAAAACACCCATGCTAACTTTTACACCCAAATAAATAAATAGTAACTAAGCAAAAAAGGCATAACCCTCCCGAATCATATAGATATATTACCCCCCCCCCCTCCTCAAACCAATTTCAGGGGGTTTCAAGATTAACCTGTTATTCAAATAAAGACAATACAGCTTCTTAGTGGCAATGGTACATTCCAACCTATTCTCTCGATGGGGGCACAAGGTATGGTTTACATCACTGCTGGGGAAACTACAGCACGGCAAGAGATTTTATTTTCATGAAGCCCTCTAAATCTTATTCCAGATGACGCAAGGAAGAATTTCATCAGCGCTCTGTTACTAATGTCTCTGACATCACAGTAAAAGAACAGGTTTAACTTCATTATATTTATCAAGAACTGAAAATGAATGTTTGTATTCTTTTAAAAGTATATACAATAAGATTAAAATACTAATTACTTTGCTACATAAAGTGCACTATGCGTCCCAGTGACACTGTCTACCTTTTGCATGAGACCCTTACACTGGAATGTTTCCCCACCTCTTGTCTACATAGTAACACCAACTATGAAGTTAAAAGCATAGCCAGCAAAGGCTATTAGCTATTTAGAAATCTCCAGAAATACGGTGACGTTAGGTAAATTACAGTAAAGCTAGGCGAATTTAAATGGCACTCCACTGTAAAAGGGGTAAGATTCATCAAACATATAAAGGTGAGAATCTAAAAAAACCCTCCAGTACCCACAAAAAGGAGAGGAAAAGAGCGGGCAGTTGGCGGTTGTTCTGGTGTGGTTTGCTTCTTCTTTCCTATCAAACATCTATCTTCCTTATCTCCCCTTCTTCCTTTTTATGTTTGTTACTCTCTCGTAACACCTCCAATCTTCTGGCGCTCATATGACCATGCAGCTGCGAGCGCCATAAAACCTCTACTAAAAATAAACTTAAACTAAAGAGGAAAAGAATCTAAAAACCAACCTGAATTAAATCCAGAATGCCGAGCTCACTCTCCGAGGAGTCAACACAAAACACAAAGTAGAGAGTAGCATAGTGACGGTAAATCAGTCTGTAATCTGAGCCTCCGATCAACCTAAAGTGAAAATGCATATAATGTACCGTCAGTTAATCTAAAGTGAAAAGGCATAAAATGTACCGTCAGTCTACATGAGGCTTGCCTTGCTAACATTTTAACATTTTTTAGGCAGAATCGCACAAAACTATACGGTTTTCATAAAATGACATTTATAATTTAATAGAATTATTTTACTGCCCCAAGGTGCAGCGTCATATTTGTCAAAGTGGAGGGGGGGGTTGTTGTTGTTTTATTGATTTGTTGCACTAATCTTACCCATGTCCTTATTAATCTTAAGCAAGATGACTCATCTACAATTCAATCTCTTACATGTCATACTATTTAATGTGAAAAAGCTAGGTCTCAATCCCACTGTTGGTGGCAGAGTGACATATCTAGATTTCTGCACAACTATGTTTAGAAGCATTCATAATTTTTGAAAAGCTAAATGTGAGGCATCATTGTGAAATCAGGTGCTCATCAAAATTAGTCGTAAGACGCAATGTGCTATTTGAGTTACCAGGCTCAAAAGGCTAAAACTTGACATTCCATGAATATTTTGTGTTTTGGATCTAATGAAAGTTTCATGTCTTTTGCTTCATTTAAGATCAAAATAAACAATTATAATTGACTATAAATATTTTATTTTGATTTATTTTGGAACAGTGTGAAGTTTGTTGTGAGCTTGGGCAACAAGAGAAAGGAATTTGGACCTCAAAACTCTCTCGAACATTTGGCCTGCTGGTGTGTAGCTGTGAGATTATTTACAGAACCATTTCCACATTGCCACCTTGCTTCAACATCCTTCATTCGTCCCTATTTTTAGATTTAGACCCTTTTCGAGCATGAGTGGTCTGAAATGTAAACAACTTGGTGTCACTATGAATGGCTGAGGGCTCTGAATGGTTAAACGGGGTAATAACTCCTGCCCACATCAAGCTTGTTTACGTAAACAGCAGACTGTGCAGGTGTGCCCTGCTAGCTCAGTTATGGGCTGTTGACCGTGCAGTTTTACACTTCCATTGACTTTAAAAGTCCGTTTTTATTGTGTTGTGGTGGGTTTTTTTAAAGTTTAATTGATGTTCCTTTAGATCTCCCTGGGCGGACTCCTTACCAAGAAGCCACCGAGGCAGTCAATGTGGATGCGTGTGCATGTTTGTGTATTTGTGTGTATATGTGTATACGTATGTGTGTGTGTGTGTGTGTGCGCTCGTGTGTTTATAGTGCTATTGCAAACGAATAAAATGTACAAAAGTTTTTAAAATGCACAGAAAATCGAGGTAGCCAAACTGGTACCGGTACTAATACTGAGGGTAATTTGCCATTCGATGCCTTAGAGTATGATTTGAAAGCTATTACTTCCTCTACATTACTTTCTTCTGCAATTCACTTCATGGCACATGTCTATAGAGCGCACTTTTCTTATAACCAAAGACGCATGTTATTAGGCTGAGACCGCTGTAACAGTACCAGATAAAAAAGCCTTTATTAGAAACATTTCTTATAAAGAAAATCTTAAGACAACAAAGTGTTGATAATAAATAAACTTGACAACTTACGTTCCCCCCTCAAGAAAATTGCAGACGCTGTCATCACGTTTCGACACCAGATGAAATGTTTCTCGGATGATCTGATGCTGTACATCCTCAGCCTGGAAAATGTTCACATAAGAAATATCGATGAAATAAAACTGAAAATATCTCTACCACAATAGTCAGCAAACTTGACTTGAAGAGAAGAAAATGTCACATCAAAATTCATTAAATACTCCTACCACTCAAGTCACCAAAAAGGAGATATAGATTATTGTAATATAATACACTAGTACATATATATACACACATTTAAATATACCTGCACCTCACACGACTCTAATATAACTAAATTAATACTTCTGTCACTGGATTTTCATCCTGTTAACAATGCACCTTAATAATGACATATTATATATGCGTTGATACCATCTTTTCTGAGTTTCTGCACCAATGTTATATCTTTCATGTTCCAAAAGTTAGACAGTTTTTGTCTTGCCTTTTTTTTATATTTATTTTTTTTCGTTCACACTTGTCAAAAAATTTTTCAATTTAGCATTGCCGACTTCAGCGCGTCTAACGAAATAACCAGACAAGTTACAATATCCGTTCTTTTTTGAGTCTCAAGAGCAGAAATGCGTGCTCTGGGAGCATTAAATGATAAACCATAAATGCAAGGATACACAACTATACGTTGAAAAGTACCAAAAATGAAGTCAGTCCAGACAGACTGGCGACAGGGAGCTGGCGACAGGGAGCTGACCCCAATGACCCCGATGAGATAAGGCGCTCGGCGGGGAACCCCCCCACTGCAACTAAAATTCCACTGCCTGTGCGCCGTTTGAAGTGTACTCTCATAAAAGTTTTCTGTGTGTCCATAATTTGTTTGTGTGAGAATGAACAGTTTTCTACTTCTGTGTGTCCATAATTTGTTTGTGTGAGAATGAACAGTTTTCTACTTGTGTGTGTCCATAATTTGTTTGTGTGAGAATGAACAGTTTTCTACTTGTGTGTGTCCATAATTTGTTTGTGTGAGAATGAACAGTTTTCTACTTCTGTGTGTTACTTAGTAGTGGCCAAACCAAGATAACTTCCAAATCTCAAGCCTCTATCTCATTTCTAAGACCGCCGTTGCCATGGAAACATATTGCTCAACGGACAATTAACAGTAAAAAGTAAAATTTCACTTTTTTACAAGACAAGGGGGACCGTTTCAAACCTAATTCAAATTATGGTCAAATGCCCCCCTGAAACCCCCCCATGTTTTTGTTAGATCACGGGGGAAGTTTTACAGCTCATTTTGTAGGCTAGATCTACTGATAAAACATCGATACCAACTATTTAAATCAGTATCGATATCTAGTTCTCTGTGCCGATGATGCTAAGTCTTAAACAGACGGGACCCACATTCTTTAGTTGTACCAAAACTAGTATCCCCAAACGGGACCCATATTCTTGAGGGTGGATCCCATGTACAGTTAGTCCGGACAGGATTTTGAACGGAAGCCATGCTTGCAGCCTTGCTGCAGTCAACTGCTGTTAGTCGTTGACCTGTAAGGTGTAATAGCAACATTTTTTACTGCAGTTAGACTGCACTGCAGATATCTCATATTGATACTACGTTTGCACCAAAATAGTAGTCACCCAGTTTGCTACACACTGAAGTGTTTGCTTCAGGTTCATATTGCTTGCAATATTCTACAAGCCTTTCAAGCCCTCTCTCTAGCATGCTTATAATTTAGAGTGGAATCCTGTTATTTTTTTAGTTTTATAGAGAGAGGGAGGGGACTGGTTCGAAATGTCCTTTTTAGCAGGATTCTTGTTATAAGGGATACAGTAATAAATTCAATGGAAATAATAATGCAGGCTTGATCTATGAGTTTGGTGTTCTGTTTATTTCTTTTTGTTATCTCCCCTGATGATGATTTTATTTCAACATGACCTCTAGGTCATACTTGATCAAAAATCGAATCAGGTTTCTTTCTCTAGCGTAAGCGATGTTGATTATATCTATGGCCGTCTTTATTCAGACTCGAGTCCAAATAACATTTTTTCATATTCGGACTCGAGTCCGAATAAAAAAAATTCTTATTCGGATTTGAGTCCGAATATGAAAAAATGTTATTCGGACTCCAGTCCGGAAAAAAGGAAGTGTCTTCGTTCTATAGATCTAACGTTCAGTGCATTCAATTTTCCGCCATTTTTTAGTTTCCCCCACACCTTTTCTGCCGATACGATGCCCGCCATCTCATTGATATGCCCCCCCCCCCCCCCCATGTTTCCCACTTTCTTTGTTGTAGAAAAAGGTAAAATTGAAAATTAGCAGACCACAGGACCTGGCACCTGCATATTATGAGATGTGTTAAAAAAAAGACCGATTCGTTCAAATACACAAGCCTGTGTCATCTCGATTGTTTACCAAGAAAAAGTTGTTTTGCTGTGTGTAGAGCTGAGCATACGGCAACTTTTGATTCCATAGACCAGCGCACAATTCATTACGTAGATCTACGTCAAGACTAGCTTATTATTGTAATAATGATCAGTTGCCGGGGGAAAAAGACTGACGCGTATGCGACGTTCAACGCCCAGACCGATAGTGCCCCCCACCCCCCTCCCCGACACGCACACAGCCACACGTGTGCAGGCCGCCCATCCGACCCCGACACACGCTAACGAGCCATCTTTAATTGCTTCTGATGACCTCTTGATAAATAAACATTTTAGAAGCGCTATTATGACTTTTCATGCCGGCCTCAAATTCATCATAAGATAAAAACTCGGCTCCTGCACAAAACGCAATTTTGCCCGAAGTGATCCCGGTCTCTACCCAGCCTGAGGCGAGTCACGAGTGAGGCAGGACAGGAAGCCGGAGTCACGAGTCACAGGAAGTCGGAAGTGATGTCATGCTGGACAAGAATCAGAGTCCGAATAACATTATTTCATATTCGGACTCGAATCCGAATCTAGTCACTTCGAAGATCTATATATATCTAGACTCTAGATCTAAATCTAGATTAGATCTAGAACGTTTGCTCACGGCACAGAATTCTACAATTCTGTTTTAATAAATCACAGTGTAGAATTCTGTGGTTCAGGGTGAACGCTTCACTGGTTGGCCTAGGCTAGGGTTAACGCACGACCGTGTGAGAATAGCCAAAAGACTCGCCTGCGCTATTCTCACCCGACTCACCCGAGGTGAGAATAGAGACCGTGGCCTTTTCTTATCACACATGACATGATCTAACTGCAGCAGTCAAAATCCTGTCCAGACTAACTGTACGTGGAATACCCGCATTAACTAGTACCGAAAAAAGGGGTGTGTCTCTCCTCCAAATCTAAGTATTTCTGCCAGGCCTTTACCTTACACTAAATTACGAAAGTGGCTATTCTCACCCGCCCGGAAGTTCTCGCAAGATCAACTCCTCCCCTCTTCTCTCTCTCTCTGTCTCTTTCTGAATACTGTCTATCGGTGTGGACGATCAAATTGACCAAAACAAAGTTAAAAAATGATGTTAAAACACAAAAGTAAATTAATTTGGTTGTCTACAAAGATGCTACGGCTATTTAACTTTTCGAATCGAGCCGAACTACGCGGGTCGCCATTTTGTTTTGCCCGGAAATACTCGCGCTACTCCTCTCTCTCTCTTTCTCTCTCTTTCCACTGCCCACAGACAAAATTGTACGCTTTTAGTAGGCTACAGTTGTAATGGAACGTTTGTTCACGGCACAGAATTCTACCATTTTTCTATTATCACAGTGTAGAATTCTGTGGTTTAGGGTGAACGCAAAATTTGGTGAACGCGCACCGGGTGAGAGTAGCCACAAGACTCGCCTGCACTATTCTCACTCCGGGTGAGAATAGAGGTGGCCCTAAATTACTAAGTAAAAATCAGTCAGACATTCATTGTCGTGCTTCGTACGTACGTAAAATAAACATTTTAGAAGCGCTATTATAACTTTTCATGCCAGCCTCAAATTCATCATTATAACATAAAAACTCGGCTCCTGCACAAAACGCAATTTTGCCTTAAGTGATCCCGGTCTCTACCCAGCCTGAGGCGAGTCACGAGTGAGGCAGGACAGGAAGCCGGAGTCACGAGTCACAGGAAGTCGGAAGTGATGTCATGCTGGACAAGAATCAGAGTTCGAATAACATTATTTCATATTCGAACTCGAGTCCGAATCTAGATCTAGTCACTTCGAAGATCATATATCTAGACTCTAGATCTAGATCTAAATCTAGAGACTAGAGATTAGATCTAGATCTAGAACGTTTGCTCACGGCACAGAATTCTACAATTCTGTTTTCACAGTGTAGAATTCTGTGGTTCAGGGTGAACGCTTCACTGGTTGGCCTAGGCTAGGGTTAACGCACGACCGTGTGAGAATAGCCAGAAGACTCGCCTGCGTTATTCTCACCCGAGGTGAGTGAATAGTCTTCAATAGAGACCGTGGGCGTGGCCTTTTCTTATCACACATGACATGATCTAACTGCAGCAGTCAAAATCCTGTTGTCCTGTCCGGACTAACTGTACGTGGAATACCCGCATTAACTAGTACCGAAAAAAGGGGTGTGTCTCTCCTCCAAATCTAGATCTATATATCTAGATCTAAGTATTTCTGCCAGGCCTTTACCTTACACTAAATTACTAAAGTCTAAAGTATAAAAATCAGTCAGACATTCATTGTCGTGCTTACGTAAAACTGATAAAACTTTGTGAGCCTCGGCTTTCCGTGGTTATTGAAGACGAGGATTCCTTTAATCATCGTGCAACTCCAGTACTGAACAACTATGGCACCACTAAAAGCTTTAAATGTTCAAGAAAATGGATGGACAATCGTGATGACGAAAGTTTCCTGTTTTTTAATTGTCAACAGATGTGGCATCCGCCATTTTGTTTTCAGGTTCAGGTCACGTGCAAAGCAAAAACATGGAATACATTGAGCCGGAATGGTTCGCAAGAGAACAACAACAACAATAATACAAAGGCCTAGTTCGAGTAATATTAAATTCTAATATGTGTTGTTACGTGGTGTATAATTAAATTGTGTAACCGGAGTAATAATCATAATTACATTGTTTCAGGGGGGAGGGGGTCCAAAACAACTTATTGCACTCATCTCCCACAGACTCTTTGCTTCCCCTTATCAGAAAAGCATTATAAAATTCAAATTAAGTTGTCCTGGCTATGAAAGTTATCACGTGTAATGAAGGTCTCTTTCGCGTAAAAAATCCAAAAGAACAATAAAGGACTATCTTTTCCCCTCTAAACACTGGACATTTATCACTCCTAATTTACTTTCAATACCTTTCGTATCGTTATACTGCAGAACTCGCTGTTCAGTTCAATTTCTTTTTGATTGTTCAGAGGAGGTTATTGCGCTGTTTCTCAGTAAGTGACAATAACGGTTTGAAATTAGACGGCTTGAACATTTTTTTAAATTTATTTATTTTGTTTTATTTTTTGTAGCGTTTTACGGCGCTCGCAACTGCATGGGATCATATGAGCGCGCGGGACACACCTAATACTTTCAGTTGGTAGGAAATTTTGAATTTTGCCCGGGTGGCGACCGAAGCCTACTATCGATTTTAGACCACCAAGGGATCTTTAACATGCGCAACTTGCACATGGGCCCTCCGAGATTTTTCGCCCTTGTCCGAGAAGGCTCGGTGTAGATCTTTCCTACCAGAAGATCAGGGGTGTGGCAGAAAGACAGCAGTAAGGAGGAGCCAAGGAGCAGCAATAGAAAGGCTGCAGAATGAGTCCGGAGCCCAGAGGAAGGGGCAATTAAGGAGGTGAGGGGTGGGGTCAGGGGCAGAAAGCAGACGACAGAGCATTGCTGGAGAGCAGGAAAGGAGGTGAAAGGAGACAATTTTAGAGAAGAATATTTTTCGGTCGCTACCCGGATTCGAACCCGGGACCTTTGAATGAGAGGCCAACACCTTAACCTCTATATTATTATGCCACGAGAGCCCCCTTGAACAGTTTTGACGTTATAACCGAAGGATTGAGCGAAAGAATAGGTGCCTTGGGTAGCCAGTCCATTGAATAGGCCTGAGTGTATTATGTTGGAGGGTATGAAAAGAATTCCTGGTTCTGACATTAAAGAGAGACATAATGAATGCACAAGGTGGGGAGGGGTGAAGAGAGAAAAAACTGGGGGGGGGGGGAGAGCGAGAGAGAGAGAGAGAGAGAGAGAGAGAGAGAGTGTGTGTGTGTGTGTGTGTGTGTGTGTGTGTGTGTGTGTGCGTGTGAAGGAGTAAGGGAAACGAAGTAGCTGTTTAAGAAAATCTCTCTGGCGATCATTCGAGTAGAGGCACGAATAGTGGTCACACTTATAAACACCAATCGATTATCTGATAGGCCTATGCAGGACACAGTTCAGATAGATAGATAGAAGACAACGTAAAAAAGGGGGATGAATCATAGTAAAAGAAGATACTGAATATTTCTGCTTACCGGCGACTGTGGTGCAAAAGTTGGGTGTTTCACTGTCTAGAAGACCCGAGTTCTATTATCGTGAGAAAAGATCTTTTTCGAGTATTTTGGTCTTTCTACTGGACTGTTGTATCCCTCTTTGTAGTCCTAGTCTTAGTCCAGATTGGCAGTCTCAAAGAATATCTTAACTGTGCGACTTCAATTTGCTGGGTCTTTTAAAATGTTTTTCGCCTTTTTCGAGCCAATAATTTAGGCTGCAGGATACGCTTCTATTCCCTGTGCTAGAAAGAAACTGATTTTAAAGTGGCAAATATAGCCTAAAGCCTCTCTTCATTATACCATGATGCACTCCTCGATAAATATTTTCTTGAGTAGCAACTGGAGTCTGTGATGTAGCGGTAAGGCACTTCATCGTCGTACGCAGAAGGCCGGAGTTTGATTCCCATGAGGAAAGGATTTTTATTGAGTATCTCCATCTTTCTACCGGGCCTTTGTATTCCTCTCAGCCAGGGTTAACCCTGACAAGCAGGGCCACAGACCAACCCTTCAATAATCTTAAATGGTGTCAATGAGGGTGAAAAACACCTGCACGAAAGTCTTTTTCCGTGAAGGTATGATGTATTTACAACCTACTAACCAAAATAACAAGTAGTAAAAGTGATTCTTTTCTTTCTTTTTTTTTCTTTTTTTTTCTTTTTTTTTTTTGGGGGGGGGGGGGCGCCCTTGAAGACTCCTGTGCACTGCAACGAAATAACAATCATTCGGAAGGTCAGTACATGTATCATAATTTTGAAAATAACATATAAATACAATGTATATTAAGCTATACATCACACTGAACGTAGATGTGCCTCCATTATTTTCTACAGTTGTCGTGTTAATGATAGTCATAGACTTGTAGCCTATTAAAATACACGGACCATATTGTACTCCGGTGTTTTTTCCGGTCCATTATGGAGCTCCCCATCTGAGCCAAAATGAAGGGCAAAAAGAGAGAGGGGGGGGGGGG